CGCAGCAGTAGAGAAGTGGGACCTGAGCCCTGAGTGAACAGGATTTTTAAAGGGAAAGTCTGTGAGCAGGGGGTTTCCATGGCAGCAAGCAGGGGGGGCCCAAGCCTTGGCGTTACAGAATTGGGTGAAGTTTAACAGGGCAGGGTGACCTTTTCTGAGGCACACAATCACAATGGCTATTTTTCTAAACTATATCTGAAACATTGGGGAGAATTTTCCCACCTGATTTCCAAACGATTCTCACTGATGATTGCCAGGGAGATTGTCTCTATTTTCCATGAAGTATTTATCCTGTGCTATTTCCTGGAGGCTGTTGCTAGGAGAGTTAACTTTGTTTTCTGCCAGGTGCACATTTTGTGATACTTCCTGGTGCCTGAATTCAGCTCCCAGTCAAGATGGCTCTTTACTCAGGCTAACTATACCCAGGCTAACTTAAACTCTTCAAGAGAGACACAGGCACCACTGGGATGGGTGAGTCTTTGAGAGAACACTCATCTTCACACCAAATTCCCTAAAAGAGTCTGGGGCTAATCCCCAGAACACAAGGGCCTGATTTTCTTTATAAACTCTCAGGGGTTGGGGGATATGTCACATCACATCATTTAGTTCAGCATAGCTCATGTGACAGGGAACTATAGAGGAATGGTAATTCACAACATGGCTGTTTTGGCAAGAGATCACATCCAGAGACCTTCTAGGTCTGTGTGATCAGGCTGGACTACAACCATGCCATTAATCCAGGAGGCAAGCAGATCTGAGTTCAAGGCCAGCCTGGTATAGAGCAAGTTTCAGGTAAAGACAGGCTGAGCCAGGTGGGGTGGTACATGCCTTTAATCCCAAACGATGAAGGTAAAGTTAGCTTGTAGAAGGAAGGACCCAGGTTTGAAAGGGATGTCTAATTGAGTGGCAGAAAAAGTGAAAGACTTGATGGAATAGGATATGCCCACCTCTCACCAGAAAGAAGGGAGAGGAAAGGGAAGCTACTTAAGGGGCAATACAGAGGGAGAAGCGGAGGCAGTTTCTCCAGGACAGTAATAGAGAGACAGGTTGCGGAAAGAGAACCCAAATGAAGACCAAATGAGACAGAGAGTAAGGACCCAGAAGATTAAAACAGATTTCTGGAGTTAGTTTGAGACCAAGCAGAGAAAGAGAGAGAGAGAGCAGGAGAGGAAGAGAGAGAAAAAGAGGGAGAGAGTGGCCCACCAGCCACTAAGTACCTGGCCCAGATGAATGTTATAGGACACAGGTACTGACATAGGATGTTGTCAGAACTGTAAAGGCAGGCCGGTTGATGGTTTGCACAACATAATAGCTCCAGCACTCCTGAGGAGATGGATTCAGGAGGAACCCTCCCTACTCATTCTAATTCCAGGCCTAGTAGTTACTAACTCCCTGTTCAGCCTGGCAGGGGAGGGAGGGTAGCAGTCCTTGAGTCCTTGGTCCCTAGTCCCATGAGTCACCTTCTGAGCTGACCTCAGCACACCTCACACACCTTCCGGCACTTTGATTCTCTGAACTCTATCCGTTCTTCCTTTTCCCAGGCAGAAAATTCAGACTCATTTATTTTGTCACCTGCTTCCTCTGGGTGATGCAGGGCTCTGGATGGGAGCCGAACTTGACCCTGCTGGTACTCTACTCATAGGAAAAGGCTGTACCATTCTGAAGGATAAAGGTTTTCCTCCCTCTCCCTCCCTTCCTCCCTCCTGTCCCCTTTCACTTACTTCCTTCCTTCTTTCTTCCCAGGGCCTGGTGCAAGATAGGCAAGCAACCAGAGCTACACTTCTTGCCATCCATGTTTTTTGTTTTTTTCAGGTCTCCTGTAGCCCAGGCTGGCTTAAATTCTCCACGAGACAAACCTGAACTCCCCACACGGTTGTTGGTTCATCAGCCAGCATCCATCCTCCAGCTGGAACCTCACTGGCTTCTCTCTTCCACCTTTCTCCACCCCCTTTTCTTTCACCTTTTCAACCCCCTGACACTAGATAAGAGGAAAACAAAACAAAACAAAACAAAAAAAAAAAACAAAAAACGGAAAGGAAAGAGATCCCTGAATGAAGCCATGGGTCAGAAAGGGGGCGATGTCATCCTTAGACTACTTCCTGCCTATTATGGGTGTTGAGCTCCTTGGGAAAGTTTTATCTTTGCTGTCAGGATACCTAATTTTTTTTCTTTTTTCTGTTTCTTCTTTGTGCATGACTACTTAACAAATGGTGATCAATGACAACTAACAATCCACGACGCCTATAGGGCCCTAGCGTTTATACCCTCTGGAAAAATCCTTAGAATTCCAAACATCACACAATTGCAGAAACTATCTGCAGCTGGCAAAGTCACGCCCCTGCTAGAGCCCGAGGCAAATCACAGCCAGCTGCTGCAAAGCAATCCTATATCCCCACACCTGGGATTAAAACAAAAACATATTCTTATAATATTGCTATGGTTTAAAAAAAAAAAAAAAAAAGACTTATTTACTATTTATACAGTATTCTGCCTGCATGTGTGCCTGCACACCGGAAGAGGGCACCAGATCTGATTACAAATGGTTGTGAGCCACCGTGTGGTTGCTGGGAATTGAACTCAGAAGGACAGCCAGTGCTCTTAACCTCTTGGCCATCTCTCCAGCCCTATAGCTGTGTTTTTTTTAAAGAAACCAAAATTCCACAATTCTCACTGCAGAGATCCACCTGCCTGTTTCCTGGCTGCTAGGATTAAAGGTGTGTGGCACCACTGCCTGGCAGAGCTCATTCTTGTGATTAAAGGTCTCAAGTGCTTTGCTATTAGCAGGGTATTTTGCAAGGGAATTTTGTTGTCACCGTCCCTGAAGCTTTAGTTGTGAGAATCGTCACATGCGGAGTTTTTTTACCCCAAAATTTTGCTGTGTTTAAATGTGGAAGAAAATTAAAGCATGCGATCGGACTCTCGGGAAGTTTTGATCCAGTCCGACTGGCCAAGTCTGGCTATACGGAATTTTCATTCTCACCTCTTTGCGGTCTTCCTGCTAGTCATGACACCTGCAGGGACCTCACAGCACATGAGCTTAGCCTTTAGCCTTCTGAGCTTCCAGGAATGTGAGCCAACACATTTCTGTCCTTTACAAGTTACCCGGTCTCGGTCTTCTGTTACAGTAACAGAAAATGGAATAAGACAACTTTCCTGGCTTAGACCCTGGGCTGCTGCTCTCTCCCTGGATTCACCCTTCTGAAATGCAGATTGAACTGTCTTTTTTTAAGATTTATTTAGGCTGGTTGTGTCATCACACACCTTTAATCCCAGCACTTGGGAGGCAAAAGCAAGTGGATTTCTGTGAGTTGGAGGCCAGTCTTGTCTAGAGAGTGAGTCCAGGGCAGCCAGGAATGTTACAGAGAAACCCTGTCTCAAGAGAAAGAGAGAGAGAGAGATTTATATATACTTCATGTGTGTAAGGGGTTTTCTTCATACATGTGCAGTGTGTGCATGTTTGGGACCTGCGGAGGCCAGAAGAGGGCACTAGCCCCCCTGGAACAGGAGTTACAGACAGTCTGGAGGTCTCCAGGTAGTGGATGGAAACCAAACCTGAGTCTCCTGTAAGATCAAGTGCTGTTAACTGCTGAGCTGTCTTCTCGTCTTCTCCAGTCCCAGGTTTGCCCTGGCCAGCGGAGCTTGTTATTATCGGGGATAGAAGAGAAACCGAGTCCAAGCAAACAGGTGCTTGTCAAGGACTAACTTTACTGAGCAGAATCAGCTTTTATAAAGGGTTCAGGATGAGGAAGTAGGGTGGGTGAAACGTTACAGATTCTTCTCGGCCAGGGGCCTGAAACATCTTATGATAAGCCACGGTTCTGTGAGCACATCTCTGCTGTTGCCAAGCAGTATGTTTACCGCAGGTAAGGGAACGGACATCTCCAAGCAGTATGTTTACCGCAGGTAAGGGAACGGGCAAATTGAGGCAAGTTGGTGAGCTTCCACAGGTGGTCCCTGACACAGGTTTGTCTCTGATCCTCTTCCTGGCTCCCCAAAACTCTCAGCTCAGATGCCTAAAGCAGCCTGGCTCCTTCCTGCTTTCCTGGCCTCAACCCCTAAGTCTGTTCTATCCCCGCCCCTCATGGCTCCCTTATAACACTAACCCCTCTCCTCTTCCTGCCTCACTGACAACCCCGCTCCACCTCCCCTACAACCTGTTTTCTTTGTTCACACTAAATTCAAGCTGGTTAGGTGTGGGAGTAAGACTGTGAGGTGGAGCAAGGACCTGGGTTTCAACCCCCTTGCAACAACAACAAAACACACAAAAAGACAAAACCCGAACCATCACTAACAACAAGAAAAGCAAACCAAACAAAAAACTCCAAAGGAATTAAGCCTGTACCATCTCCTCCCAGAAACCTCTCATCATCTTCCTTGGACTGAGCCAGGTCCCTCCTCAGCCTTCTCAGGTTGCGTAAACTGCTGAGGTGAGTCAGCCCTCAGTCTCCTAAGGGCAGGTTCAGCTGGGCACCACCACCTTCCTGTTGCCCAGTTTCCGGTAGTTCCCAGCTCCTGGCATCATCCGTGAAGAACCCTTAAGTGTTCTTTGTAATAAAGTCTCATGTAATTCAGACTGGCCTTGAACTCCTAATCCTTCTGCCTCCACCTCGAGAGTGCTGGGATCATCAGTGCAGGAGTCTTACCACATCTGGCTTAAGTTTCTGTTCTTGTATTCATGTATCTCCAACTAGCATTTAAGGCCTTTTGGTGGACAAAGCCAGCCAATTAATTCATTCCTGTTGCTGTTCTGCAGGGAGAAGATCATTGAGTGGAAAGTGCTTGCTGTGGTTTTGAATCATTTTGCTCTTAGTTACTTCTGTATTTCTCTCGAAAAGTAGGGGGCTCTAATACAGCATCTTGCAACAAAGATGTGGTTTCCACGGAGACCTGCAAGTTCTCCCTCTCATCAAGCTCAGGCCCTACAGGGCAGAGGAGGAAAATAAAGAGCAGCCAGCCGCCAGAGATAACTTGGATCAAAGGTAGCAGCCAGACGGGAAGTTCTGCCCAGACACGTGGCTGGACAGAAGTTGGTAGGAGACTGCGGAGCGGACAGACCTGGAGGAGCCTCAGCCGCCGTGATTAACCTTGAGGATGAAGAGGATGACATTGCTCCGGTGGCTGATATTCCTGACCCCCTGGGGAGTCGCAGTTGCTGAACTAGGTACCGCCTCAGGGAAACCTGCTCCGTCTTTGCTTTCTACTGGGAACGGGGGTGGGGGTGGGGGATGGGGTCTGGGCTGCTGGGATCAACTCACAGAGGCGCAGAAAACGTAAGGCAGCTTAGAGGTTAAAGTGCAGAAGAGTTAGCCATCAAGGCTGTTTGGGTGGTATAGCTCAGTTGGGAGACAGACTTCAAGGGCAGCCTAGGATACATGGAACATGGTTCCAAAACTAAAACAGAACAAAACAAACAACAACAACAAAAAAAAAAAAAAAAAAAAAAAAAAAACAAAGCCGGGTGCGGTGGCACTTGCCTGTAATCCCAGCACTTGAGGAGGCAGAGACAGGTAGTTCAAAGTGAGTCCAGGACAGCCAAAGCTACACAGAGAAAAACAAACAAATAAAACAATAATAGTAATTAAAAAAAAAAAAACCGGATAGGCTACTTGAGCTAGAGGATTTTAAGTGGGAGCAGCCTGCCAGAGGCCGGACACTGACTTTGCCAGTGGGACGCCGAGTTGGCTTAGGGTTCGGTTCTTGAGAGCCAGCCACTGAATGGAAGCAGGTGGCCAGAAAGATTCATGAACTCAATCAGGACGCTCTGATTGAAGGCTCAAGTATAGCTCTGTGGTTGTCCAAATGAGCGGGATCCTTCCTTGGGATTCCAACAAAGAAACACACAAAACACACAGGCTAAGGGTTGGCAAGCTAGCTCAGCGTGCAAGGTGTCTGTCACCAAGGCTGATAAACTGACAAACAGAGGAGTTCAGTTCCCCAAGTCCACATGACGGAAGATAAGTTGCCTTCTGACCTCCACATGAGTAGAGTGGTGTATGCTCACCCAGTAGATAAATATTAAAAAAAAAAAAAAATTAGTTAAAAGCCCATCTCTGTACCCTGGGTGAGTGTAGGAACCAGGAAGAAAGCAGAAAAGAAAATTCAGGTCATCAAGGAAGAAACATTTCCTCAGTTGGGACAGAATAACAACCAAAGAGAAAACCAGCATAAGCAAAATTCGTACCGTTCCAAGGTGACCTTGAAGGCTTTTATTTTATTTTTTTCCACGAGACGAGGTCTCGCTGTGCAGCCCTGGCTAGCCTGGGAGTTGGCTATGTAGCTCAGTCTGGCTTTTCTACTCGAGATCCATCTGCCTCTGCCTGTCAAGGGTTGGAATAAAGGCGAGTGTCACCACACCAGCCAAAATTACAAATCAGAAAAGCAGTCAGGCCAGTAGGGCAGATCCACAAGCCACTGCTGGAGAAAGATTATTGTTTTACATGTGTGGGTGAGTTGCCGGCATGCCTGTGTACCATATGTGTGCCCGGTGCCTCTGGAACTGGAATTACAGACAGTCTGGAGCTGCCATGTGGGTGCTTGGAATTGAACCTTCGACCTCTGGAAGAGCAGCCAGTGCTCTTAACTACTGAGCCCTCTCTCCAGCCTCTGTGCTCATGATTTTTTTGCTTAATACCTTCACAACAATTTAGCTTGAGAAGTATTTTCATCCCCATTTTACACAGAAAATCTGAGCTGGAGACAAGTATCCAGGATTACACAGCTAGCGCGCCTGGACCTGAACCCAGGCTGTGCAGCTGTGGCCAGGGACGCTGAGTGACTTCAGTGACTTATGCTTGGCATTAGGTTCTTGGAAAACTGTCTTTTAAAAACTTATTTGAAAATAAAGGAATAAAAGCCTTAATAAAAGCTTAATAAAAAGCTTAATAAAAGCTCCTCCACACACAGCAGACACTCACGCTGTGTGAACCCAGCTGTCGCCTTCCACCTTGGAGGCCCCAGGGATCGCACTCAGGTCCTCCGGCTCGTTGGCCGCACCTTTACTGCTGGGCCATCTTGTACAGTACAGATGATGCAGTGTCTGGATGCCTCCTGGGTTGCCCAGGCTGGCCTTGAACTCCTGAGCTCCAGTGACCCTCCTGACCATCTGTCCCCCAAGTGGCCACGACCACTGGCACACACCACCACATCTGGGTAGTCCCAGCAGACCAGGTGCTGTTAACCACCATCCTCATCTCACCCAAGGCTCGTGTGATCTCGGACCCAGCGCCTGCCCGAGATCTCAGTCAGGGCAAACATTTTGCTCATTTGCTGTAAGCTGCATGCCCCATTTTTTTTTTTTTTAAGGACTATCTTTTCTATTTTCTTCAAGTTTGCTGGAATGCACATATGTATTAAAAAAAAAAAATTAAAAGAGAATTCCAGGAGCTGGAGAGATGGCTCAGCAGTTCAGAACGTGTGTTGCTCTGGCAGAGGACCGGCTTTCCCGTTCCCAGTATGCATGTTAGGAGACTCACAATTGCCTGAAAGTCTAGCTCCAGGGGCTTCCACACCTCTGGCCTCCATAGGCACCTGCGCTCACAAGTACACGAACTCTCACATACACATAATTGAGAATAGCAAAAAGGAAAAATAAATTTTAAAAAGCCTGTCTCGGGCTGGAGAGATGGCTCAGTGGTTAAGAGCACTGTCTGCTCTTCCAAAGGACCCGGGTGCAATTCTCAGCACCCACATGGCAGCTCATAACTCTGCACCTCTAATACCAAGGGACCTGACAGCTTCACACTAATATACATAAAATTAAATAAATTATTTAAAAAGTTAAAAAAAAAAAAAAAAGCCTGTCTCTATGGCACATGCTTTTAATCCCAGGGAGGCAGAGACAGGCAGATCTCTGTGAGTTCAAGGCCAGCTTGGTCTACAAATCAAGTCCAGGACAGCCAAGGCTACACAGAGAAACCCTGTCTCAAAAAGAAAAAAAGCCCCCAAAAGAATCCCATGGTATTGAGGCAGCTTTCTGGGGTCCCACTCGAGGTTTAATAATAATGAAGACATGTGGAGACATCTGTGGGGTACGAGGCTGTTAGCTTGTTTGCCGGGGCTGTCCCTCACCTACCCATCTAGACCACCCGATTCTTGGCTCTGCTCCTGCTCTGCATCTGTCCCTCTGCCCCAAGATCCAGCCGCCAGCCCTGTATTCAACAAGAGCCACTTTCCTTTCACATACAAAAAAAAAGTTATTGGCGAAGAGGGAGAAGTTCTACACCTTACTTATTCTGAGCCCCACAGCAGGACCCCGCTGGTCTGTATTTTACAGCTGCTCTTGGGCCAGACAGAGGGCAGGGTGACCTTCCTGAATTTCCCCCACAGCAGCTTGCTTTTTTTTAATATGATAATCTCAGAGAATCTCTTTTGGGGTAGGTGGAGGAAGTGACAAATATTTACATATCCTGCCAGCACCTGGAGCCGCTCCCACAGCAAAGAACAATTGAAAATACTAGGACACTAGCTCGGTGCCACGGCGCACACTTGTGATCCAAGCGCCCTGGGAGTCAGGGGCAGGCGGATTTCAGTGGGTTCAGGACAGCCAGGGCGACACAGAGAAACCCTGCCTCGAAAAAGAAAAAGGGAAAAAGGAAAGAAGAAAGAAAGGCAATACAGGGACACACTTTCATAGTCAGCTGATACAGTGTAGGAACAGGAAACCTGGGTTTTCAGGGTCTTCCAGTGAACAGGGGACTGCCTCATTGCCAGTCAAGCAGCAGCCATCTCCATGAGCCGGGAGCTGTGTATTGTACCACCTTTAGCCAAGAGCGGGGGTACTGTCCCAGGCAGCTATGCGACACCCCGCTGCTGTACGTGTCACCCCCCAGTGGGAGCCGGTGAGGTCAGGAGTGCCCCCTCCCCCGCCCCCAAGGCTGCCTCAGGGCCGAGGGAGAGGGCTGGCCAGGGAGCATGGCAGCTTCCTCACCTGTAAGACAGGACGGGTCCACGCGACCGGGGAAGGTGTTTGGAGGGGTGGTTGTGCCGTTAGCACAGGAGGTGCTGTGCACACACTTGAGCTTGGGTCGGGGCGCACGTGTGGAAGCTGAAGGACAGTTTGCAAAGGTCAGTTCTCTCCCTCCACCACTCGCAGCCCTGGCATGGGACTCAGGTTTTCAGGGTTGGCAGCAACCACGGTACCTGCTTTTTAAACATTTAAATATATATATATACAGAGCATAACCATGATTTTAAAAGTCAGAACTAGAAAAACTCAGAATTTATCAGTGAACACAATTTAATCTTTAGAACTAGAAGTGAGTGGCTCCATCCCTCTGGTTTCTGACGGAGAGCTGGCTGAAGCTGACACTGGCTGAAGCCGGCGGGAAGGGGCGGGGTAAACTGCCGCTCCACTGAGCAGTCCTGAATCCTGCTCAGCTCTGCCGCTGGCAGAGGCAGGTCTTAGGCCGATTCTGAGGGTTTGAGCGTTCTCAACTGCCCAGTTCTCCGCAAGCCATCCAAGCCTGGCCCTCGGGAGAGGAGTGGGAAGGAGACAAGTAGTGCCCCCCCCCCCCCCCCCCCCGTTCCTCCTGCTCACCGAGCTACAGCTCTGCTCCGAGCCTTCTGCCCCAGCCCACCTGGGAGCCTTTTTCTTTGTTTTTGGGTGGAAGGGAAGCAGGCTATGAGACTTAGCAGTTTCTTTCCCTGACTCTGTTTCATCCTCACTATCTAGCTCCTAAATAATTTTTGCTCTCAAATTACAGAAATCTGTTTGAGCTCCTTTATGAACACTTGAAATAACCTTAGAAGTACCTCTCGCTCTCTGTTTTTTTGACTGCTCTAATTCCCAAGTAACTTTTTGGCTTTTGAGATTATTTTTTGTTTACCCTTATCCTTGCGCCTTGAGGGACTCCTGCAGTCCCTGTAAGAATAAATCTTGTTTACTCAAATCTTGTCCCGTAACTCGTCGTTCTGACTTACCTCTCGGATCAAGCTCACAGACGGGTGGCTCTGTGGAGATCTTATGTAGTTTTAGTTCCCGGTGGAAACGCTGAATCCTTGTGTATTTTAGTGGCCACTTGAAGAACGACGTTCCATCCAGATCTTTAGGTCATGTTGGGCGCCAGATATGCCCTGACCCTCGGGGCTTCAACGGGGTTCCTAAAGTAGGAGAATGGAAGGAATGGGGGGAGGGGACAAGAGATGCAGGAATGGAGCCACGTCTATTCATCTGATCAAGGTTTCCATTTATTAGAAATTTTTATCCAACTTATATAGGGAGAAGACAGGAAAGGGGGAAGGTTAATCTCCTGCTGCAGGAAATAGGAAGAGTGCTTTCATGGGTTAAATATTGTACCTGCAAGATACCATAAGGATGGTTTCTAAAGTTATCTTACGGATGCTCTAACAAAGGATGTCCTCACAATCTGTCACCCATGATTTAGGGTCTTAGATAACTCTTTCACTAAATGGCTTTAGGTCTCCACTAAATGACCTTTGCTCTCTATTTGGCTTTGGCTTCAGTAACTACCTTTGTCTCCACTAGATAGCTTTGGCTCCTGGCAAGCTGGCATTATAGTAGTGGGATGTCCCATTTGTATGAATGCACTAGGATCTACCCATTGAGTTATCTCTCTAGCCCCAGGCTGGCCTTGAACTTCTCATCTTCCTGTCTCCGCCTCCTAAATTCTTCGACTAGAGGTAGGCATGACTATACTTGCCTTGCCGGGTGCGCCCTCTCCTTCCTTACGGCTGACATATAATAGCCAGTTTCCTGGGATTAAGGTTAATTGTCCAAATGGTGCCCTGTCTGGCTTTAGAGAGGCTGACTTTGAACTCATCTGTCAAGTGAACAGTGGGGGCACAGACCTTTAGTCCCAGCACTCAGGAGGCAGGCAGATCTCCAAGTTCCAGGCCAGCCTGATGTACAAAGTGAGTCCAGAACAGCCAAGGCTAGACACACACACACACACAAATAACCTATCTTGAAACCCCTCACCCCCCAAAAAACCTTACTTCAACCATTTTGCCAGTTATTTGGAAGGCTGAATGGAGAGATCACCTGAACTCTTGAGGGGAGAGGGGTGCGGTTCAGTAGTAGAGCATGCAGGAGACCCTGAGTTTGACACACACACACACACACACACACACACACACACACACTCACACACACCGCACTCAGTAGTGCTAGGGAGACTGGGTGTAGTTTCATTTTTACTAGAAAGTGACAATTGGCCTTACCTCACCACCAGCCAGGACTTTCGGGAATGAAGAAATGTGCACTTTGGCTGATACCAGAGAAACCAAGTGGCTGCTTGTGGTTAATTGAGAAAGATCCTCCTTGAGGCCGGGTAATGGCTTCTGCTCGGGTCAGGAGTCGGGGGTGGTTGATACCAGACAGAAGTTGATATCAGCTTGCTGCATTAGGCTGGCTAGCTTGCCCTAAAACAGGCCACAGGCATGAGCTAGCAGATGCTCGGGTACTCGGAAGGCACGCCAGCTAGTCCAGCTGTTGATTAGGATGGGCTACTTCATTCCATTATTCTGGTTTACAGTTTTTGTTCCCACGGGAATAATTTCAAATCTGCTAGGGGTTGAAATCTGTGTGGAAAGGTTAAATCCTACTGCGGGGCTTTTGTGGTTTAATAATAAAGAGGGAGACATCTATACAGCTTAAGGCTTGGCGTTTTTGTTTTTGTTTTTTTCCTGTGGCAGTCTCCCAGCCAGCTTTTAACTTAGCGGGGCTTCTCTGCCTTCGTGTCTTTCTACACGGCTGCCTCTGCCTAGCCCCTCCCCCATTCTTCTTTCCTCTCCCGATGCTCTCTCTATTCAGTCAACCTTTGTCCCCAACTTCTTCTCCAGCTCTTTATTATGCAAAGAGACACATTTCTTGCTCAGTCAGTGTCTTTGGAGGCTATGTGACCTTCCCCACCTCAGCTTGCCTTTCTTTTTTGGGCCAGGAGAAATTGACAAACATTTACATTTCCTACTGGCCGCGCCCGCCCAGCAATTAAGGATTGAGAACACAAGGACACACTTTTTCATAGCCAGTAAATACAATATTTGTGGGTCCTCCCAACAAAACTCCACTATAAACAAAGGTTCCATGTAGGTAAAAAAAAAAAAAAATCAAAATGCAGGCACCTGTAGTCAAATAAGACGCCCATCTAAAACACTAGGGTACTGGGCTGGTGGGACCGTAATCTCGTCTGTTAGTATGTTAGTAAAAACGATGCCGTGCACACAGCAGATATTATATGAAAGAGATTTATTGGATGGAGGTGGAGAGATAGAGGGAGAAAGGAAAGAGAGAGAATGATGAGGGACCCCAGGAAAAAAGCGAGGCAGAGAGAGCAAGAGAGGAGAGTAAGAGAGACACAAAGTGGCGGGTTTGTCCTTTTTTAGCTTGTGCATGGGCAGCTGAACTGGGCCAGCCATACACCTGGTGGGCCACACATGATGACGTAGGTAGGAAGGCAACCCAGAAGCAGGCTGCCTATGTTAGGCCCAGCCTTAGCCTAATTTCAAGAAGGTATGAAGAGAATCCAGGAGACTAACCATCGAAGTAAAATCGCAAGAGGTTTATTCTGACCATTGCGCAGTGGGGTCACCCCTGCTGGTCAGCAGGGAGTGGCCCCGGGAGACAAAGGCCTTAGGTTTTTAAAGGACAAAGCGTGGGAATTTCCAGGGGTTGCAATCTTAGCGATTTAGGATTGGATGAGGTATTTAACTTTTAAAATAATAGGTTGGCACCTGTAGGTCTGGTCAGCCCTGTCGTAATATCTGATCTTCAAGTCAGTTTGGACTTCCCTGCCATATGAGATACAGCCAAAGTTAATGGTGGGAGAGTGATTAACTCATCCCGTGTCTGTTCTGAGGAGTGGGGGCTACAGGCTTTGGGTCAAAGGTCAGGATTGGGGCCATTTGGCTCAGTTTCCAAACAAAGTTTATCTCACAGGTGCCAACCAGTGATTTTTCTCTCCACTTAGTAGAGATCTCTGCTTGTTCTCTTCCTTATCTCTGCCCTCACAGATGGCTAGTGTCAGGAACTTATACATTCCTCTGTTCTCTGGAGAAGCACTAAGAACTTGAAAATATAAGTTATAAGGCAATTAAAAGAAACACAGGTTACAAAGTTAGTCTGATTCTTTCACCTATATGCTAACTGTCTCCCTGGAGAGTCTGCAAAGTTCAGAGGTTAACGGGCCTGAAAGCATGTGGCCAATGGCCGGGTATCCTAGGGCTCAGACTCTCTAGGGAGATGTGACTGCTGAGCTGTAGGACTTCTGCCTTTGCCATATGATTTCAGGCCTGTTGACCTCTGAACCTTTGCTTCCTTATCAGGGCAGTGAAGATAGTAATCCAAACTTTCCAGGGCTTTGGGCAGGGCAGCTGTAAAGCACATTAGAAGGGTAATGATTTGCTTAATCAGTCATTTATATCTTAGCAAGTTTCGGGTCCTTTTCTCAAATTAGGCATAGGTCAGGAGCGGTGGGCAAGGTTTTTTTTTTTTTCTTTTTTTTGGTTGTCAAGATCTTAAAATCACCCAGCAGGAAAGTTGAGGACCTGTTTGGGTTCCACATTCATGTCCTGGTTCTAGCCCCAAGTTCAGCTTCCTGTAGGGAAGCTGTTTAAGGAAGTGAAGGAGGAAGTGACGGGGTGGTGGAGGATGAGGTAATCCCCAGGCTTCTCCCTCAGCTGGAAACACAGGACTGAGGGCACAGGTTGGACCTGCTTTCCATGTACTGTCGAGAGCTGGGTGGCCATGTGCTTGAGAGACTCACACGGGAGGATCCTGGGTTCAAAGCCAAAGAGAGGCTGGCCACATAGCCCCGTGCTCTACCTCACCAGCTTCTTCCATCTCCTTTCTCGGAACTGCACCAGCCTCTCTTGGTTTGGATCGAAATCCAGTCAGCCACCATGAACAACATGCTTCCCATCAGCCTGTGCTCATGTCCTGGATCACCAGCTCCCGTCTTCCGCTCTGATCTGCTCACACTCATCTCCACACATACTCCCCAGGGACTGCAAGGCCTCCCAACTCATGTGTTAGTGTAAGCCTTCTCCCTCAGGGTAGATATTTTGCTCATATCCCATGGGGCCTGCCAGGGCCTGTATCTGTTGACACAGTCTCTCTGAGTGGCCCGGCTTGCCCAAGGCCCCGTAGCTCCGAGGTGGAATCGGAGTGTTTAACTGTCCCGCCCCGCGGGACTCAGTTATTCGTGGGGGCGAAGGGGGTCAATCCTGAAAAAGATGGGGGAGAGAGAGAAAGGACACAAGCAGACGGTTGCCGGTCAAGTGTCTCTTTTATTGAATTTTGGTGTTTCTTTTAAAACGTGGTTTTGGCAGGGCGGGGGAGAGGGGCGAGAAAGGGGAGTAGTAGTGGAAAAATACCAAGGCCCTTGGTGGGAAGTTCCCAAGGCTAAGAAGGTGGGTTAAAGAGTTACAAGGCCCAAAGATAACATCGGTGGTCACAACGGTGGTCACGGATGTGTCCCAAAGCAAACAGTTTTGGGAACAATGGGTTGTAAGAAGCTATGGCCTGCTGGCGCCCAGTGCTAATCTGGCAGGTCAGGCCCTTAGGAAGGGTCCCAGGGCTTTGCTCCCAACATTTAACCTGCACCCTTTTCTCAGCTCTACTTGCACACCAGCACCCCACTCAGCGCTATGAGGGTCACGTGGTCTCATCCCTTATGTACCTGCTGTGGGTACTGGGATGGGCAATTGTGAGACCCTCTCCACAAGGTCACAGGCTGGGCAGAGCTGGGCTGGGGAACTTTTTCTTGAAATCTGGCGTCCAGAGGAGCCTGCGTTTGCCTTGGGGCTTCTTCCTCATCCAGCACTGAGGAGTGTTCTCTTTTCCCACAGGGAGGTTTTGGCACATCTCTGACCTGCATCTGGACCCCAACTACACCGTATCGAAAGACCCCTTTCAGGTGTGTCCATCAGCCCAATCTCGGCCTGTTACAAATCCCGGCCCTTGGGGTGACTACCTCTGCGACTCTCCTTGGGCCCTTATCAACTCCTCCATCTACGCCATGAAGGAGATGGAGCCAAAGCCAGACTTCATTTTCTGGACAGGGTAAGAACGGTCATGTACCACTCATGAGCCGGACCCTTAACGTCCTCTGTCCCTTTGAATCCTCATCTCAGCTGAACATCCAGGATTTAGAGAATTTGGCAAAGTAGCTCAGTCCTGGGGCAGAGACTGGGACCGGCCCTCAAAGGGTTTTCCAGTTTGCAGAAGATACAGGTGAGCCCAGCCACCCACCGAACTGTGCAAGGCACCTGACCCACATGGCAGGATGGGAAAGGACTTCCGCAGGAAGTGGTGACCCAGGAGGCCACCAATGAGGATGGCTGGAGGTGCTCCCTCTGCCAGTCTCAGTGGCTCAGTGGGCGATTGTGGGATGAAATCCATCATTCTTTCCCAAGGGCAGCATTTTTCTAGACGCCTCTGGGAGCTGGCAGAGCTGAATGACAGTGGACGAGAGGATTCCTAGGGTTCTTACAGCTGTTTAGCTGTAGAGCCATCTCCAAGAGAGCTGCAGTTTCTTGGAAGATAGCATGTACAAGTCAGCTGTTTTGTTCTTATTCAGTGTGTATGACTCTACGATTAGGTCCCTGTCTTTATCCATTTTACAGACGAGCCAACAGAGGCTGGGACAGGCTGACAGCAACTCAGGGCTTCACAGCAGGCGCTGAAACGGCAGAGCCTGGGTTTTAATTTGGTCTTGCCGTACTGCGGCCCAGCTTATCTTTGCTTCGTCCTGTGGATGCGGCGAGCCCACTCAGCAGCTTCCCTCGCACCCACGGTTGTCCTTCTCTCTTCTTGTGCCTGTCCCAACATTCTCGCTGGTGTTTTACAGGGATGACACCCCACACGTCCCCAATGAGAGCCTGGGGGAGGCAGCCGTGTTGGCAATCGTGGAACGCCTGACCAACCTCCTCAGGGAGGTCTTCCCAGGTAGGACTGATCGCCTGAGCCCCCGGTGAGTCTGGCGTTGGGCACAGCCTCGGCAGAACAGCTGGCGCACAGACCTTCATTGGTCTTGGCTGCCTCCAGGTTTCAAATGCTTGATGGCAGCCATTAGCTTTTGCACAATCTTCCCAGTTCACCGGCCTGTGGAAGCAGGTGGCCGCTAGAGAATTGCCTCACCATTCCTCCATCTTACACTCTTCTCTGTCTAAAGCCAGCCTCGAATCTCACGGTGTCTACACAGGGCATCCCTCGGCGAGCCTCACTCAGGCTCACACATGGCCTCTGTATCCTGGCCTGATGCCGAGCTGGTGTCTGCTGTCCTCAGACCATCCGGCTGCCAGGCCTCTGGGAGATGCTGCTTCCGGCCAAAGTGCTGTTGCTCAGTGCTTCCTAAGCTATTCCAGCAAGGCAGAGTGGGCAGGGAGTGGTAGTGAGAGGCATGACAGGGAAAAGAGGGTGTGTGTGCCCCAGCTATTGGCTCTCAGAGATGGTTTTAAATGGGCCATGCAAAACGCAAGGCCCTGGGGGCTGAATCAGGCCCATAGGCTACCAACTGGGAACCTGAGAGAGCTCCTTACCAGTGTCTGCCCCTATCTCCCCTGCTCCTCCTAAAGGGCAGTCGTGGGCTCCTGGGATCCACATACAGAATCCTGATGCTAAAAATAGACAACAGCTGTATATATCAAGGGCTGCTCCAAGAATCTGTCAGCCTGAGCGCATCCATTGTCATGACAACTGCAAACAGGAGCTGTTAGAGTTTTCCTAATGGGGATTGTGAGTGTGGGCATCAAGTTAACTGGTCAAGGTAACGTGGCCAGTGTGGGGCTCTATGCTCCCTTATGGGCACCGCTCTTGTTCCCGTTGTCTCCTCCCTTGACATAAACCGACCTCTGCAGAGACGCCTGGATCTATCCAGCTTATCTAACCCAGTCCTGCATGTTCCACGAATATAGGCTTGTCCTTCTTCCAGCGAAGGTCACTGCTCAGGGTCCAGATGGGCTATTCGCCTACCTCCAGCAATAGATACTTTAACCCCTGTTGCAGTTAGGGAATGATGGCTTGGGAGTCACTTTCTCGTGACGGATTTGGACTCATACCCAATGCTGAGCCTCTTTCCTCTGGGCCACACAGCACTTCTAGAACAAAAATGAGAGAATGGGTAGGAAAGCATTTATTGGGGGCTGAGTAGGTGGCTAGGTGGTACCTTGCCACATAGGCAGGAAGACCCGAATCTGTTCAGATCCCCTACATTAAACTGTAGCCAAGAGGACAGTGGGAAAATTAAGAAAATAAAGCGACTGGGGAAGATACCCCAGCGTCAACCTTAGGCCTTCATCCACACTCACATATATACCACAGACACCAAACCAAACCAAACCAAACCAAACCAAACAACACCTCATTGACCACGATTTGACATGTGCGTGGACGTTACAGATTTTGTCAAGTCTATGTCACATTTGTCAAAAACTGCTAACATTGAAGATGCCACTGGCTGTAAGGTAGATCGTTTTATATATGGCCATGAAGAAAAGGACTACCCTTAAAGAAGGACACGGTGTTTTTTTACAGCCACGGTGGGAAGACGCACCTCATTTTGAGAGATGTTAAAATGGGACCATAGTAGAAGATACCGGAAAGAGTTATAACGTGGGCCCGCAGAGCAGTTCTCACATTCTGTAGATGTAGGCTACAGACACGTAGGTCAAAGAATTCATTGAAGAAGAGCAAGAGAGCCAGGAATGTGGCTCTGTGGTAGAGTGCATGGCTGTAGGTCAGATTCTCAGCCTGAAAACAAACCAACCAACCAACAAAAAACCCAAAGGGGTGGAGGTAGAGAGAAGACAGGGCTGACCTGGGGAGTTTCCTCCTCCTTTCACATGGGAAATTAAGAGGCCTGCTCCATGGCTTTGGTCTGAGGCTAAGAGTTTATTCCCTCATTCAGTCGGTCAACAGGTAATTACTGAGTTAGTAGTTTGGGAAGCGGGGGCACACGATGAATGAAGCATAGGTCCCCCGCCATGCAGCCTTTGCTTTTGTGGCACCTGGCCCGCAGTGAACAGTGCGAAGGGCTCTCTCCTTTCTTGTCTGCCAGGCTCCAGCCATTTATGTTTTCTCTCAAATGGGTCCTCTTTCTTCTGAGGTTCTGGGGCTGAGCCTAGGCACTCTTGCTTGCTGGGTGAGGCAGGTGCCCTCCCAGGAGCCATATCCTGAGCCCATTTTAAGACCAGGTTTCACTATGTTCATCAGGTTGGCCTTGAACTCACCTGTAGCCCAGGAAGGACTTGAATTTTCAGTCCTCTCATTTCAGCCTCTTTAGTAGCAGGGATTATTTTTTGTCACTGGTTTCTGGAGGCAAGGTTTCTCTGTGTTGCCTTCGGCTGTCCTAAAACTAGTTCTGAAGACCAGGCTGGCCTCGAACTCACAGAGATCTGCCTGCCTCTGCTGGGATCAAAGGTGTGTGCCACCTGCCTAGCTTTTCCCGAGAATCTTTTGTTGTCGTTCATTGTTAAATATTTGTGTCTGGCATGCAGGAGGTGCTTAATAAATGAAAGCAGAAATGAGCTTGAGGCACCGGAGCATGTCTGTAATTCTAGCAGTCAGGTGGAGGCAGAGAAGATGAGGCAAAGAATTCAAGGTCAGGCCGGGCTTCACATTGCGACCACATTTCAGAAAACAAAACAAAATAAACAAACAAACACAACTCATCTATTACCACAACTAACAACATAAAAAGCCAGCATGAGGCAGTCTCCTGGGCCCCCTAATCGTTTTAGTCACATTCATTGGCCACCAGAAGGAGGGATTTCCCAGCCCTCCCCTCCTACAGCAAATAGCCCTCACATATCTAATTATTCCTGTCTATGGGACTGCAGTGCTGCTCAGTCTGAGAGCCTGCCACCCAGGGCCGCGCTGGCATATGGCAGGCGGGCAATACGAGATTTGTTGACTCAACCGAATCAAGGGAAATTCCGAAGACCTCCTCCCTGAAGCAGGATGATCTGCAACTGATAAGAACCCAAGTGGCTGTTCACCACGAAGAATTGCTTTTCCCTCTTATTGTCTGAGAGGCTTCCTCTCTGGTTAGGATGGCCGCCGCTAGGATAAGGGTTTGGAAATGGGATTGAGAGCTCTGGACTCTTCCTCGCCAGTTCTCCATGAAGCTCTAGCCAGATGCTATCTGGTTGTGGTTTTTTGCCTATCTTTGCTTTTCTCTCCACTGTGTTATCTCTCTTCCCCTCTGGCTTTGAGGGCTAGTGACTGATGAAGAGGTCTGGGCCTTCTTGCATATTTTGGTAATATTTCTTCTTTTTCCTTCAGATACTAAAGTCTATGCTGCACTGGGAAATCATGACTTTCACCCGAAAAACCAGCTCCCAGCAGAGAGCAACAGCATCTACAGTCGGGTGGCGGCAATGTGGAGACCCTGGCTTAGCCATGAGTCCTTCGCTCTCTTCAAAGGAGGTATTTAATGGCACCTGTTACCATAAGGACACAGACTGTGTGCCAGGCAGGGTCCAATCCCATTCCATCTTCACAGCAAGCCCTGAAACAGGTACAGAGTTTGTCCCCATTTTACGGAGCGAGAGAATGAGGCTGAGGTCACAGGGCTCGGCAAGGGAGTTGGGAAGAGAATCCAGGACGATTCCAAAGCCATGTGCTTAACTCAGAGTAGTGGAGGTGATCCTAAGCCAGTGAATGCAGGCACAATCCTCAGCAGCCCGCTGGACCCTCTCGTAGCCCCAGGACAGCGCTGGGAACTTCAGCTCAAGCTGACTGGAACTTGGGCAACTACTGGCCTTGTGTGGGGGCTGGCTAGCGGGCTCCTTCTCTGGCAGAGCTGTTCTTATTCTACAAAGTAGGTGTTGCTGGTCTTTGCTATTTTTCGGGTTCTTCTTTTTCCCACCCTTGATCTGCCCCCCCCCCCCCTCCAGTTTCATCCCCTAACACCAGATAGGAGATAAACAAGGATAGAGAGGGGAGAGAGATTAGGAAAATCCCTGAATCTAATTTCTTTCCTTTTGTTTCTTCTTTGACCATGGCTACTCACAAACCCCAGCCAACCTTCCTAAAGGACCAACCACCACTCACACCTACTCACTCGTGGATTTATGTGCTCTCTGAAAAGTTCCCAGAATTCCAAATGTCTGGAAAAGCCACACTTCTGCTAGAGCATGAGGCAAATCTAGTTAGCTGCTGCGGACAGTTCGAAGCAGCCTCACACCCCTACACCTGGGATTAAAGCAAAAACACATTTCGTTTTTATCTATCTATCTATCTATCTATCTATCTATCTATCTATCTATCTATCTATTTTGGTTTTTTTTGAGATGGGTCTCTCTGTGATATCTCTCTCTGGATATCCTGGACTCGCTCTGTAGACCAGACTGGCTTCAAACTCAGAGATCTGCCTGCCTCTGCCTCCCAAGTGCTGGGAGGGAAGGTGGGCTATTTCTTTGAAATTCCATTATTCTCACTACAAGTAGGGCGTTTAGCGGTGTCTCTGACCTCTGGCTACTAGATGCCAGTCACATCTCCAGTGTGGCCACCAGATGTGTCCCTGAACATGGACAGATAGATGTCCCTTGGAGGCCACATCACTCAGTTGAGAATGACTGGTGCAGAGACCTCGCCAGCCCGGAGTTTCCCTGACTCTTTCTTCTCTGCCCCTTGTCTCCTGTTGCTGGGATTCCTCGTTGGTCAAACCGTAGCCCAGCGGACACAGAAGCCTGTTCATTTAGTTTAAATAGGTCAGCTGCTGGGGCAGAGGTAGGCTCTAGATTTAGATTAGATTAGATTTTAGATTAGATTTAAAATAATTTAGATTAGATTTAAATCAGATTTAGATTAGATTGTTAGTCCATTATCCAGATGAGGAAAACTGAGCAGAGAGGGTTCAAGTAACTTTTCCAAGTCCCCCAGCCAGTGAATGATAGGGCCAGGATTAGAACTCCAGAACCTTACCCCTAAGTGCCTCTGTTATGGGAAGGGAGGGTGCCAGGGAAAGAGGTCAGACATTGAGGCTCTCCTGGCTGTGACATCCTAGGTGCCTTCTATTCTGAGAAGTTGCCGGGTCCTGGCAGGGCGGGGCGAGTTGTGGTCCTCAATACCAATCTGTACTACAGCAGCAATGAGCAGACAGCCGGCGTGGCCGACCCCGGCCAGCAGTTTCAGTGGCTGGGAGATGTGCTGAGCAATGCGTCTCGGGACGGGGAGATGGTAAGCCTTCCTGCTTCTTCCAGTGCCCCCAGGTTCCTTCCTGAACTGAGTCTCCCACCAGGCACAGACTTACACACCCACTGAGGGTGCTCGAATCCCACAAGGTCCTGCAGCAGCCTAGGCCCAGAGAAGCTTCTTCCTACCATGAAGGCCCTGTGAGTTGAGGATGTAAAGCCCGCTGCATGAGAAGACTCTTAGGGCCTCAAAGGGCTGTGATGGTCTCCTCACAGTAATCCAAAGCCTAGAACTCCAGTCTCCTTGCTCCAATTTCAGATGTCTCTCCATCGATACCACACCTGTACCCAAGGAGGTGTCGCATGTGGGTGTGTCCATCTTGTCTGCTGGGCCAGCAGCTGTTCAAAGACTGGCACAGTGGCTCAGGCTAAGTCCAGGCATCACCTGGCACAGCTCAGGAGGACTTCTGATGCCAAATCTCATCTATGCTCTTTATTTATTTATTTTTTTAAGATATGCTCTTATGTCGACCAGGCTGGCCTTGAACTCCCAGAGATCTGCCTGCCTTTGTCTCCCAAGCGCTGGGTTAAGGGTGTGTACCGCCAACCCTGGCTAAGCATATGCTCTTTTTTTAAAAAAAAAAATAAATTTTTTTAAATTTATTTTTTATTATTAATTACAGTTTATTCACTTTGTGTCCCAGCGATAGAACCCTCCTTCATTCCCTCCCAATCCTACCTTGCCTCCCTCATCTCCTCCCATGCCCCTCTCCAAGTGGGAAGGGGTGGTCCTCCTCCCCTTCCATCTGACCCTACCCTATCAGGTCTCATCAGGACTGGCTGTGTTGTCTTCCTCTGTGGCCTGGCAAGGCTGCACCCCCAAAGGGGAGGTGATCAAATAGCAGGCCACTGAGTTCATGTCAGAGACAGCCCCTGTTTCCCTTACTAGGGTACCCACTTGGAGACTGAGCTGCCATGGGCTACATCTGTGCAGGGGTTCTAGGTTAGCTCCATGAATGATCCTTGGTTGGAGTGTCAATCTCAGAAAAGACCCTGGGCCCAGAGTTTTTTGTTCTGTTGCTCTCCTTGTGGAGCTCCTGTTCCCTCCAGATCTTTCTATCTCCCCCTCTTTCATAAAATTCCCTGCACTCTGCCCAAAGTTTAGCTATGAGTCTCAGCATCTGTTTTGATACCCTGCTGGGTAGAGCCTTTCAGAGGTCCTCTATGGTAGGCTCCTGTCCTGTTTCCTGTTTTCTCCCTCTTCCGATGTCCATCCTGTTTGCCTTTCTGAATTAAGATTGAGCATCTTACCCAGGGTCCTCCTTCTTGCATAGCTTCTTTAGGTGTACAGATTCTAGTATGTTTATCCTATATTATATGTCTAATATCCACTTATAAGTGAGTATATACCATGTGTGTCTTTCTGCTTCTAAGATACCTCACTCAGGATGATCTTTTCTAGTTGTGCCATTTGCCTGCAAATTTCATGGTTTCCTTGTTTTTAATTGCTGAGTAGTATTCCATTGTGTAAATGTATCACAATTTCTGTATCCATTCCTTAGTTGAGGGACATCTGGGTTGTTTCCAGATTCTGGCTATTACGAATAAAGCTGCTACGAACGTGGCTGAGCAGCGCATGCTCTTAATTCAGCCTTCATTCTGCATTTTGCAATGGTGGCCCAGGGCCCAGGTGACTTAGGAATATAAAGCACAGCGGCATGCAACCATTCAATGCTCTCACACAGGCATGGAGGATCTGCCCCAGCTCTGAGAAGAGCGCTCTTTGAAGGGTCGGGAAGAGTTTGTGGAAGCCTGCCTTGGGGGACGTGGGCAGGCTTTGGAGGGCAATGGGGGGCTGGAGAGAGCACCTCTGATCCCTCTACCTCTCTCTTGCAGGTGTACGTTATCGGCCACGTGCCCCCAGGCTTTTTTGAGAAGACACAGGGGAAGGCCTGGTTCCGAGAAAGCTTCAACGAACAGTACCTGAGGGTGGTCCAGAAGCACCATCGTGTCATAGCGGGCCAATTCTTCGGGCACCAACATACTGACAGCTTCCGGATGTTCTACGACAACGCAGGTACTCCATCTTAAGGGAACAGCCCCCACCCCCGCCAGCCTCCTCCTTCCTTCGCCCTTTCAGCCCGTTGTCTTTCTCCCCTAAAGGTGTCCCCATAAGCGTCATGTTCCTCACCCCTGGGGTCACCCCGTGGAAGACCACATTACCTGGAGTGGTCAATGGGGCCAACAATCCGGGCATTCGTCTCTTTGAGTATGATCGAGTGACACTCAACCTGCAGGTTAGGAGCGTGGGGGGCTGCCTGGGGCCAGGGGTGGGGGAGCCCGAACCCATCACCACCTTAGTAACCCCCAGTAACCCACCTGCCGCTGGCTGCGCTGGCTGCTTGAGGCTTGACAGGGAGTGTTGGGTAGAACCTTGGAGCCACCTGCTACCAAGTCAGGTCAATCCTTCCCCCAAGTCTTTCTTTGTTCTAGATTGCCGTCACTGTCCCCTATCTAGTCCCCCTGCCTTTACTTCCGGAAGGGATTCTTCTTCCTAAAGCACCGAGTCCATGTTGCTGCTTTGTTGCTCACAGACCATAAATATCTCCCAGTGCCCTGGAGACAAAATCGCCTCTCCTTAGGGAAGAGCTGAGCTCAAGCCGCTTTCCATTCACCAACTTGGACCCAGCCCCTAACTCCTGAGCATGTCTTCACTTCCTGGGAGTTGCTGGGATTGTTGAAATGATGAGGAAATGCTACTTCATTCATTTAGCAAAATGTACTAAGCATGTGCCACATGCCAGGCCCTGGTCGAAGCTCAGAGATGCAGAAACAAAGAGTAGAGTAACCGCTGTCCTGCTCTGAAATCCCTCCAGGAGGAAGATAGTAAACAAATAAAAAAAAATTTAGCATGGGAGACAGGGACGGCAGGGCGGCTTCAGGGCACAGGGATGAAATTTAAAGCCAGCCTGGACTACATTCTGAGTTCAAGACCAGACAGGAACCTAGCAAGAAGACCCTGCCTCAGAAAGGGTGTGTAGTGGGGTGGGGTGGGGTGGGGTAGGGATGGGGGGTTGTGCCTGCAGCTCAGCAGCAAAGTGCTTGCTTAGCATGGAGGACACAGGAAGTTTGATTTCCAACACTGATAAAAAGGGAGGGAGAGAGAGAAAGGAGGGAGGGAGGGCGAAGGTGCGGACGATTTTAGAGTGTGTGGGCTGTGTCGCATAGATGGTACAAGGAAAAGGTTAAAAGGAAGGAGGCGAGGCGTTTGAGCTCTGTGTAAATTGAGTGAGCCAGCTGGGCTTGTAGGGAGTGGTGGAGAGAGGGAACAGCCAGCCAGATGCCCCGGGGTGGGAAGGGGCTGGGTGTTTTAGGGGAAGTGCACGGAGGCGGATGGGTGACCTCTGAAGGCACAAAGGGAGAGTGGAAGGCTTAAGGCCAGATCAAGGTCATGTGGAGAAATCTGCTTCTGGAAAGCTGGGGACAGAAGCATGAACTGTTTCAATTCATAGTTTCGCAAGATCACCATGTCTGCTGGAGAAAAAGCAGTGATGGGGATACCAGCTGCCGGAGGGTGGTGGCGGCCCAGGGTGCTGAGAATATTTGATCCTAAAGGCATTTCAGAGGCTGAGGAGCCTGAATTTTCTGACAGAGACTTGATGCAACTTTTCTTCCTTCCTTCCTTCCTTCCTTCCTTCCTTCCTTCCTTCCTTCCTT